TTAACAAAAGTACAAAAAAGAAATTGTGAACTTAGTTTTTTGGTCAAAAGTTATGTTTTGGCGTTAAAAAATCATTTCATGGTAGAATTAAAATTGTACTTTGTTATTAATAAATATAATTTTAAGAATCTTAAAAGCTTTCTACAAAAAATCTTTAAAAATTCTTGATTTTTTCCTAAGCTTTTAAAGACTGACCTGTAGTTGTTGTAGATATTCTAACTGTTCAATATTTAGAGGAAAATCTCCTATATTATCCAAGGGGTTCTTCAATTCAGTAGATTCTAAACATTATACATATTATCCAGGGGGGTATTTAATTCAGTAGATTCTAAACATTATACATATTATCCAGGGGGTTCTTCAATTCAGTAGATTCTAAACATTATATATATTATCAAGGGGGGTATTTAATTCAGTAGATTCTAAACATTATACATATTATCCAGGGGGTTCTTCAATTCAGTAGATTCTAAATATTATATATATTATCAAGGGGGGTATTTAATTCAGTAGATTCTAAACATTATACACATCATCCAGGGGGTTCTTCAATTCAGTAGATTCTAAACATTATACATATTATCAAGGGGGGTATTTAATTCAGTAGATTCTAAACATTATACATATTATCCAGGGGGTTCTTCAATTCAGTAGATTCTAAACATTATACAAATTATCCAAGGGGTTTTTCAATTCAGTAGATTCTAATCATTATACATTTTATCCAGGGGGTTCTTCAATTCAATAGATTCTAAACATTATACATATTATCCAGGGGGTTCTTCAATTCAGTAGATTCTAAACATTATACATATTATCCAGGGGGTTCTTCAATTCAGTAGATTCTTAACATTATAGATATTATCCAGGGGGTTCTTCAATTCAGTAGATTCTAAACATTATAGATATTATCCAAGGGGCTCTTCAATTCTGTAGATTCTAAACATTATACATATTATCCAAGGGGTTCTTCAATTCAGTAGATTCTAAACATTATACATATTATCCAGGGGGTTNTTCTTAGCAATGGATGACGAGGGAGTCAGCTGCGAAATATTGCACTGGCATTCAAAGTCTAATCTGTGTCTATCATATGAATCATTTATATAGAAAATAAATAATGTAGTTTTTCCATTTATGAAAGTTGTAAACTTGTAATACAATTGTAATATCTTAATCTCTGCTACAAAATAAATATTTAGATCTAAAAAAGATTATATGGAGCTCTTTAAAACTGTTCCCTCATATTCATGGCTATTTATTTAATTTCGCAAATGCTGATATTTACGTAAAATATTATAACCCATTGGAAAATTGTCAAGACGACATTTGATAATTTTTTTCGATGAATGGCTCATTTAGGGTTCAACTTTATTCACTATCTTTTTATTCATTTATATTTAATGATGAATAGTTTTAAAAACTGTTATGAACTGGTGTGTCCTCTTAATGTTAAGCATATATCGAACTCAACCAAATCATTTTCAAATTTAAACATTTTGTTTTAAATCACAAAGAGAATATTACGGTTATTAAATGTTTTCTGTAAATTTGATATTTTATTCACCTGTGGACGGGAATGGAGAATTAGAGGGGAAAGGAAGAAAATCATTCTCGAAGGAACCAAGGGAAGAATACTCAGAAGGTTGGAAGGGAAGAGGAGAAGGTTGGATTGGGAGTGGAGAAGGTTGGAAGGGTAAGAGAGAAGGTTGGAAGGGTAAAAGAGAAGGTTGGAAGGGTAAAAGAGAAGGTTGGAAGGGTAAAAGAGAAGGTTGGAAGGGTAAAAGAGAAGGTTGGATGGTTGCGACGGAAGTTGTTGTCAATGAAAAAACGAACCCGTCTCCATCGTCAAAACCTTGATCTGGATACTCGTCTATATAGTTCTCCAGGTCCTCCTGGAGATCTGGGAGATCCAAAGATCTAGCCTACACAGATATACATATAGAAACATAGATATTACACTTATTAGAGAAATTTATGTAATAAATTTAAATCATTTAAAGAAATAAATTTGTTCAAGAAATCGTTAGGTGATTTACTTGTATAAATCACTTTCGAAATTATAAATCAGCTGAGAAATAAAGAACACAAATAATCGTTTGATGACGTCTAAAAGTTGTCTGAAGAAAGAAGTACAAAATCACAAATTTACACATTCTACATATTCACCGCACAATTGCAATTATAACTGTCGTCTTTCTGGTCTATAGTTTTATGAGCTTCACTCTACGGGCACAGTGTAGAATACAATTCATTTTAAAATTTAAGAAGGATAATTTTTGAAGGAATAATACTAGCTTGAAGAAATAAAAAAAATAAAAAGAAAAAAATGATCGAAAGATAAAATGATTGAAAGATAAAATGATCAAAAGATAAAATGATCGAAAGATAAAATGATCGAAAGATATAAATGATCTAAAGATAAAATGATTGAAAGATAAAATGATTGATAGATAAAATGATTGAAAGATAAAATGATTGAAAGATAAAATGATTGAAAGATGAAATGATTTAAAGATAAAATGATCTAAAGATAAAATGATCTAAAGATAAAATGATCAAAAGATAAATGATCGAAAGATAAAATGATTGAAAGATAAAATGATCGAAAGATAAAATGATCGAAAGATAAAATGATCGAAAGATAAAATAATTGAAAGATAAAATGATCGAAAGATAAATGATCGAAAGATAAAATGATTGAAAGATAAAATGATCAACAGATAAAATTATCGAAAGGTAAAATGATCTGAAGATAAAATGAAAGAAAGATAAAATGATCGAAAGATAAAATGATCGAAAGATAAAATGGTCGAAAGATAAAATGATCAAAAGATAAAATTATCGAAAGATAAAATGATCAAAAGATAAAATGATTGAAAGATAAAATGATGATACCTGAGATGATCGAAGGGAAGGGTTGGGCAGAGTAGATTCTAAAACTAAAAAATTATTACTAAAGGGATTGTTCATTTTCAATCTGTTTAAAAATGCTTAAAATAACCCTATTTTTGTGATTAGGAACACAAATAATTCTTCTATCAAATATGCTAAAAGAAGCTCCTGGGACCTAGAAGGATCAAAAACGTTAACGAGAATTATATTCTTCTTTTCAAAGCTTATTTTTTGATGTTTTAAAACATTTTTATTAAGAAAGAAAAATGAATTAAAAAGTCGTTAAACTTTTCCTCTACGTCAGGAGGAATACACAAATTTAATAGTCAAAATTTATAATTTGAAATTTTATTTTTATTCTGCACCAACCTGTTAAAGTTTCATCCGATGATATAGAAGTTGAGAAATCAGTATTTATTTCCAGCGGGGGTGTCTGAAACAAAACAATTCAACGTTTCAAAAGTTTCAATTTTGTAATCTGCAATTTCCAAATCTTCTGAACTTTGCAAATCTTCAAGGTTTGGAATTTCTGAACTCAGAATCTCTGAAAATATAACATTATTCTTTTTACAATCTAAAAATAAAATTTTTGTAAATTGTCAATGTGAGTTCAGGAACCATTCGATGTCAAAATTTGGAATTATATTTTTTTTTCTATTTGAGATTAAAGCGACATTTATCGGCCATTTTCTTGATAATCTCTTAACAGAACGTGTCTACAATACTGACAAAAAATCATTTAATTTAAAATATATTTTTTTAATTTTCTTCTTTTAATAAAATCCAACCTGTTTGCAGTAGAAGCTGTGACGACTCAGAGCTAAAAATATACATTTTCAAAACGTTTAAATATAAATCTTTAATTCATTAAAATGAAAATATGTTTCGTCTTGTAATTTTGTTGTTTTTACAAACATTTCTCTGAAGTTAAACGAATTTGTTTATTCTCAGCAGAATCCTTTAGTATTTTTAATCTTGGCTTTTAATTTATTCAGTTTTTTCTCTAGCAAAAAAACAAACAAACTAAGAACACTTTTTGTCACCAGGTTTTCGGTTTAATGACAAAAGCAGTTAGAGGAGGAATTTTTGTCACAAATATTTCTTATAGTCTTGTAGCTTTTTAACTTTTTAACCTTATATTCAAGTTTTATATAACTTATAAATAATGATTTGTAAGAGTGGATGAATACTTAATTTATTATTTTTGAAAAATAATTTTTAAACGAAAGTTTTCGTCGATATGTAATAACACACAAAATAGTTCCAAACCGGAAAGGTAATTATTAACGTGGAATATACACTAGGATCTTCTTAAATCAAATGTGTACTGTTCTCAGAGCCCGAAACTTAAGACAGAGTATCGTAATGATACCCAGTATCGATACACCGGTTTTGCAGATACCAATATTTTTGGACAGAAATATTATTTCATGCGGTTTCTTAACATTCTATTTTTGATTTCTTAAATTAGAAAATTTGCAAATGCACAGACTTTAAAAACGAAACTCGAGAGTTTTGTACAACGATACTCTCTTAAATTTCTGGCTCTTTAATTTCTGATAAATATTAAAGGGACTGCAAACGAAATTTTAAGTGCCCCTCCATTTATAGAGTATGTCCGATACCCAATGGTACCCTTTAAAGCCCTGTCTGATCAAGAATGCCGGAGATATTTTTTAAATCTTTCTTAACAAATTTATTATTTTCATTTGCGGTTTCTCTGTATGTAAGGTGTCTTGCGGATTTCTGCCTCAAATACAAAAAGAGTAAAATGTCAGAATAAAACACTGAACAAGCTTGTAACCATTGTGAATCAGTTTAAAATTGCGTTTACAATCTATTAAATGTTTATGCGTTCTATAACAAATTTTAGATCCTTGAACTATCCACTTCACGCAAAAACTGTTTTGCAATAAAGGAAAATAAAGAAATTAATAATAATACAAGAAGCGACGATTTCTTCTTCATCATGATGAATTTTGAAAGGGTGCCGATTCTTTCAATGAAAGGTTACTCCTTCACTTTTACAGTCCGCTTTAGGAAATTATGAATCCTTGAAGGCACTTTTAGAATATCATCATAATAAGAAAGATACCTGATAGTTGCAATCTGTAAACTATCTAAAGGTCCATTCAACCCAGTCAACCCTAGTGTTGTGATCAACCTAGAAAAGACAAATTGAATCGAATAAAAATGAATTTATATTGTTTCGGGCTTTTCTTTCTGTCACGTCATAAGTATTATTTATTTTCTCCTTTTATGATGATTTATTTGTAGATTTTACTTATTTGTCAATGCATAAGATTATACGCGACGAGCTAAGTTTTTTTCTTTCAATATTCCTTTTTTGCCAAAGTGTTTTAAAAATTTCTCTAAGATTATGCATATATTTTAGATAAATGGTTTCTCTGAGAGTATGTGTTGTAAATGTTATAGATAAAAGGTTACCTCTGAAATTGTTCATCCTCTGAGCTAAAATCTTCCTCCTTCTCTTCAGATACAAGTAATCCTGGGCTTGAATAGTCTTCAGTTAACTCCAGGTTATCCTCCATATTCTCAGTGACATCTTCTTCAGAATCTTCTTGTCCTGTAGTGTCTTCAATACTAGTCGTTTCTTTGTAAGGTTTGAGAACAAGAATTGGAATATTTTCTTCTTCTTCTTCATTTTTTTCATCATCTTGCGTTTCGTCTGTGTTTTCATTAGTCTCTTCATTTCCCGTCTTTTTATCTTTTTCTTTGGAAAATATGTTGTTAAGATGATTTCTCCGAATCTCTGGTCGGTTAAACCTGTCGAATTTCTTGAAAGAAAACCGGTTTTTAGGTTCTTCCTTTGACTCTGGTCCATTTCCAACATGATCTGCCTGGGTGGTAGTTAGTTCTAAAAAGCAATAATAGATGGCGCTTTTTTCCCCTCAGTATATACAAGATTTGAGAAAGAGCTTGATCTAGAAGGAATGAATGTTCTCTCTAGAATTGAAGTGACAGGTTTAGGAGAAGCTGAAGCACTAAGCACAGATCTAATATGCTCCCGGATATAGTTCTTCCGAGATCCGAACCTTTTCTTCTCATCCTGGACAAATTAAACTATATTAAAGGGACTGTAAGCGTAATTTTAAATGAGCCTCCATGAAAAGATGGCGCTCCTGATTCATAAAGGTGTAACATATATCAAATCAATTATGATGAAGAATTTGTGGTCTTAACTAGGTTTACAGTTTAAAGATATTATTTCGTTATAATAATTTCTATTGATTTTCTTGCACTGGAAATGCGCAAGCCACTTAATTGGATAGATATTACAAATTTTCAAAATTATAAACATTCATATTTAGTTTTGATACCAAAGAGATTAATACGAATATTATATGGGAGTGTTACGCGAGCCATGCTGCGTTCATAAAGTCTATGTGATACCCCTGTGAATCTCTGAGTTCTCCCTGAGGATCTGTACAGAACGTATTGAGAAATAAACGTTCGGAACCTTATTATCATCCTTTTGTTATGGAGAGCGTTGAGAGAAGGAAGTCTTACAATCCTGTCCAGAGAAATACCACTCGGTACTTATAGAGTTTCATTAGGTCTTTAGGGAAATCGCTAAGTAGCGAAACAGGGAGTCATATTTAAGTAAAATTGATTTTAGCAAAAGATTTTTAAAACAAAATATACTGCATAAAGCATTTAATATCTAATTCAGTATATGGAAGAAGACATTCAAAACTATTTACCAACTGTCATGTTTTGTGGGAGACCCTGTAGTCTCTTTAAAGGGTCATATTTCGTGAGACACCATGTAGTCTCTTTAAAGGTTCATGTTTCGTGGGATACTCTGTAGTCTCTTTAAACTTTAATGTTTCGTGGGACACCCTGTAGTCTCTTTAAAGGGTCATGTTTCGTGGAACACCCTGTAGTCTCTTTAAAGGTTCATGTTTCGCGGGGCACCCTTTAGTCTCTTTAAAGGGTCATGTTTCGTGAGACACCCTCTAGTCTCTTTAAAGGGTCATGTTTCGTGGGACACCCTCTAGTCTCTTTAAAGGGTCATGTTTCGTGGGACACCCTCTAGTCTCTTTAAAGGGTGTGTGAAAAAAGATATTTGAACTTAAAGGGAGTAGGATTCAAATCAAGGGTTAAAGATGCTTTTGAGCTGTTTATTGGAAAAACTTTATTCAACCCGTTTCTGAATAAATATATTCTATCACATGCACATTTACTTAGTCAGTCGCTTTTATTATTCAGAAATATCTATCCTATTATTCAGAAATATATATTCTATTATTCAGAAATATCTATTTCATTATCCAGAAATATCTATCTTATTATCCAGAAATATCTATCTGTCTTTTTTTTCTTCCAATGTTTACCTTTTGGCCGAATACACGAAAAAAATAAAATATTGTAAACAATTTACCTTTTCATCTGGTTTTTCAACTTGGTTAGGTTTCTCTGTAATAGTGGAGGGTCTCACAGCTGAACCTGTTGGCTTCCTTCAGAATATTAATCATATTAATCATATGAATTATTTTGATCCTTTTAATCAAATTAATCATATTAATCATATTAATCATATTAATCAAATTAATTATATAAATCACACTAATCATACTAATCAAATTAATTATGTTAATCATATTAATCAAATTAATTATATTAATTATATTAATCATATTAATCATATTATTCATATTAATCATATTAATCATATTAATTATATTAATCATATTAATCATAAAATCATATTAATCATAAAAATCATCTTAATCATATTATATGCATATATTAATCATATTAATCATATTATATACATATATTAATCATATTATGAAATATTATGAAAACGATTTGAATAAAGAATGCACATTTACTCACAAAGCATCCGTTTTTAAATACTAACAACGATAATGAAAATATAATAATAATACTGATTAAAGTATTAATAACAATAATAGTATTAATTAATGTCATAATAGTCATTTGAAACATAAATAATTATAATAATAATTATAATAATGATGATAATAATGTTAATAATAATGATACCTAGTGGATGATGAGAAAATAGGATTAGTTTCTCGAAACTTTTGAAACCTAAGTTTTAATCTTTCCTTGAAGGATAAATTTGCCTCCTGTCTCTCACTACTCTCACTAATAAACATTCAAACATTAAATTTAAAGACAAATTTTTTATGATGAAATTTCATAACATTTTGATAAATTGGATCCAACATAACTAACATCTAAAGAATAGGTTAATAGAAAAAGAGTCATTTTAGGAATTAAGTCTTTGACACAATGCCACAAACTAAAATTTTATGATTCCTATATCTTTGCAACCTCATGGTGTAAACCTTTGATATTTCAAGCTTAGTTTATTTGATCTAACAGAATTTATAGTTTGAAATATCTGAGGTCTACCACATTGGATTGCAAAGATATAGGGATTAGAAAATCTGAGTGTTTAGTAAATACTTAATTCCTTAATATTATGAAATTCTTTGAAAAATCTCAGAAGGCATGTTTGTATAACACATTTTAGAATTTCTTTAAGAAATGTCTGAATTTCTTCTAAAAAGTTATTGCCGGAAATGTTCGAATGAACCTAAGTTTAGAGAAAACATAAGAATTTTACTTTACTTGTCGTTATATCGTCAAAGTAAAATTACATATTTTTGCAATATAAGAAATTCTCCAGCACACTCTTTCATACAAACAATTTCAAATTATATTCGTTTCACAAGAAAAAAAATTCAAGTGAAAAATTTAGAAGTAAATTTTATAAAATTTGATTTTGTTTCCTAGTATCTTGCCCAACTTCTGCCGATTTAGACTCTCGAAACCTAGTGGATGAAATTAAATATTCATGAATCATTTTAAAAAGTTTTAAAACAACTTAGGATCAATGAACATTTTTCTAATTATTTAATACTAAGGATAAAAACAGGTTTATGTAGCTCTATAATGTACACATGTTTAGTTCTAAAGAAAAGTATAAGTGAGTTAGTTAGGAAAAACTAAAGGCCACGGCGCGTTGTAAAGTCGACCCGGTCTTAAAAATGATTCCTCTTTTTCGGAGCTGTCTAGATCTCTTTGTACATTTAGAACAGTATTATTTCTAATATTAAACTTCAAGAAAAATGTGAAAAAATCTTTTACAGAATTAAAACTTACAGACTTTTAAATAAATTTAAAAGTTAAAATCTAATAAGTTTTTTAATGTGACTCCATATGTTTATAAAATGATCATCATTTATTATATTTAGTGGGACACACTGTAGAAAGTACACCTTATAAAGGGGGAAATGTTTTCTTGTCAAATTTTCTTTTCACATTTTGTTTTGAAAAGAAGTTTGAACCTGAAAAATAACATATTTTACATTTCCTTTTAGGATTAAATCAGAATTCAGAACAAGTTTCTTTTCGAACATTTGAAATACTGAATTATTTGTATATTAGATTTATTTGATATATTTCATAAAGTTCTGATTTGAAATACTGAATTATTTGTATATTAGGATTATTTGATATATTTCATAAAGTTCTGATTTGAAATACTGAATTATTTGTATATTAGATTTATTTGATATATTTCATAAAGTTCTGATAAGAAAATGCAATAAACTTTTCTAGGGCTCTGTATGGTTCTTCATGCAGGCAGTGTCAATATTAAATTTGTAATTAAAATTTTTTAGATCTAAAAAATTTAATTCTTAGATAAACATATTGTACATGGAGTATAAATTGGGAGTTAAAGGGACTGAGCCCGCGATTTAAAAACTTCGGCTCGAGCCGTAATTCCTTAAACCCGACTTTAAGACCCGATCTTAGACCCAACTCTGACGACAGCTTGTGTCACGTGATTGACAGCTGCGAGAGCAAGATCTTAGACTCGACTTAGGAGTTATGCCCAACGAAAATAAAACCGATGATTGATTTTAGTGCAGAGACTTGTTCTCATCAAAACCCTGAATGCGCCAATTCAAATCGTGAAAATCCGCCAAATAGAATATTAAACCGGTTATTTGAACTCAACTCTGTGGAAAATAAGATGCAGCTTGAATCCCAAAGCTCAAGCCGTAAATAATTTCGCGGGCTCTGGTGACGTAATTTAAGTGCTCCTTTATTTGTTATAGCGGTTTGTCCGATTCTCAACAGTAACCCTTTAAACCTTAGTCTTATCAATGATGAATAAGATATCCATAGTGATCATTTTTAAATGTCGTTTTTAATTTTAAGTGACTTACGCATTTACGCTTATGAAAAAAACAGAATTGAACACTTTTTAGACACCAACATCTTCCTCGTTGTTACTCAGATAAATATTCAACATGTCTAGGTTCCGTTGTTAATAGGACGTGCAACTTAAAACATGATCTTATCTTAAAAATTTAAATTGTGGTGTAAAGTCGCTTTGTATCTTTTAAAAATTACGGAGAAACCATAAACTTTAGTTTAAAATTTTGTTGAAAAACAAGATGAAGGTTTATTAAATATCCGGATGAATGCCGCGTAGGTTAAAGACAACATAAAACCCGACAAAAAATTTCCACATTTTTTAAAACACGTCCCAGCAAGAAAAGATTCCCTTTTCAAGAACCGAAAAACTGAATTGGAAGACGATGACATTGAAGTAACCTTATGGGTACAAAGTGTCGATAATCAAGACAAAGATTTTTTTTAGTTTGAATCTCAATGTAATATATTTGAAATGGGATTGTGTATACACTGTACCTACACAACTGATTGCTATCTGACTATTTCAGATAATAACTTCTAAGAGTTTAAAAGTCGTCTTCCTATTCCCCATTTTTATGGATTCAACTGTAACTGAAATTTTGAATCTGTGTAGAATGTACAGAGAACATACCTGGATCCTGAAGAATCCACGGAGTTTGTTTCTATTTCAAGATCTATATTTCCCGTTCCTGTTTCCGGTACATTCTCTACAACACCTGCACAGAGTACAGTACAGTACATTACAGTACAGTACAGTACAGTACAGTACAGTATGGTTTTATTCAGTAAAATACACTACAGTATAAGTAAAGTACTGTACATGAAAATTTTATTTACAGAAATAAAGATTTTCAGTTTAGAATAATTAACATTTTTAAAATGGAAGTTTGAAGAATTCACTTATTGTATTGTATGGTTTTGAATTAAGAAAGCATAATGTGGGTTCTGAAAGATGATAAAAACTTTAGAATTAAAATGAAATAATTCAAAGAAAAATTATGGTTCATCGCACATTTTAAAAAGTTTAGTTTAACCTGAAAATCCCTTTTCATTCTCCTTGTTCTCAGTTTCAGTACTTTCTCCTGAAAATAATAGTTTTTAAAGGACTGCGCATTATGTTGGAAGATTTGATAAGCTTTGTCCTGCTGCAATTTTGCCTTAAATACATTTTATTTTTGATAATTCTAATTAATCATCAAGTTTTGAAGATCGTCATGAAATTAATGAACAGTCACTTTAAAATCTTATTTTTTGTTTCTTTTATTCTTGGTATTCTGCGTCTTTAAAACGCGTAGATTTAAACATACAGATTTTTTTCTAAATTCTTTTCTGGCACGTGCAGGTACATATATAACCTCAACATTCAGTTAAAAATAAGATTAAAAAATGATAATAATAATTATAATAATAATAGTAATTGTAATAATAATAATAATAATAATAATAATAATAATAATAATAATAATAATAATTAGGAACATATATAGGAATGTCTTGTTTTATTATTTAGTATAATATTAATAATTTTTACCTCTACTAATGCCCTAAAATATTCTGATCTAGCGAACAGAATAGGTTTGTGTGCATAGAACTTAAACTCGTTCACCTACAATTTACAGTGATAAGGATCCGGATTAAGTTTGATGCGGATCCGGATCCTGAATCCTGGATCCTCACTGGAAACAAAATGAATCAGGATCCGGATCCAGGTCATTGCTTTAAGATCTACGGAATTTATTTTAACAAAGCAGAATTTTCAAAAAACTTTCTATTCTTTTTATTCTAAAACTTGATGAATTCAGAAATCAGGAAATTTTTATAATATCTCTTTTTTCAATAGTTCAGATTTGGGATTTGAGAGTAAACAAGTTTTTTTAGTTGCAGTTTTTGGTTGATATTCCGGATCCAGGAAGCCAAAATCTTGCGGATACATCAAAGAAACAATCTAACAATACAGGGTTACCCACAAAGGATTATATATGATTCAATATTCAAATATGACGATTCCAAGTTTAATTTCTGCCAATTAAAATTATAGTATTTAATCGGTCAATGAGTTCGTTCGTTGCAATCGGATATACAAACAATTAATACTTTATATATGGGAATAAATGTACTTTTTTTCTTCAGAAAAATTGAATTATGCTACACAGGAATTGATCACCTTGAATAATGACATTGCCCCCTCCCCTTTGTTAAAAAACATTCTATAGGGTTATATACAAAAATAAGACTTTTAAGACGACATAAAATATCTTAAAATATGCTGAATCCAAGGTTATTTACGTTTTCTTGAAGTGGCTTGTTAGGTGATTTGACAAGGAAAGAAACAAGTTTTAAGTTGTGCAGAGAGCCATCAATATAACCCAAGCTCTATAGTAAAAACCGATGGGAATTTTGCTAATTACTTCTTAAAAACCAACGCTGACAACAAATGCTTTGCAGTGCTTAAATGTAAAATGTAAAGGGCAACAGAAAAGCAAAAGTGAGTTAGAGCGGTAAAATCTAAGCCCAAGACGGTGCGACTCTTTAAAGTTGACTGTCTCTTTAAAATTGATGAGACTTTTTATAAAAACAGGCTGAAACTGTGTGGCATTAATTCCGTACAGTCGTTTCTTAGTTTCTTAGTTTTTTAGTTTTTTAGTTTTTTAGTTTCTTAGTTTCTTAGTTTCTTAGTTTCTTAGTTTCTTAGTTTCTTAGTTTCTTAGTTTCTTAGTTTCTTAGCTTCTTCGTTTCTGAGTTTCTGAGCCCAAATCTTAAGACATCTTTATGAAACTCAGTATCGGAAACCGGGTTTCACTAATGGCTAACACAATTTTGTAGATATCTCAATATTTTGTTAAGTTTTATCTACAAAATGTGAAGACCCCAAAAAGAAAACTCTGAAGTTTCGTTAAACTATAAACTCCTCCTTTAAATTTCTAGCTCTAAATCTCATCACTTGTAGTTTACCCTGTACAATTACCTGAAAAAAGACATCAACATATTGATGTTCTACGCGTGGTAAACAAGGAAGCTCATCACCGCCATTCCATGATCTAAATAATTCGCCATTTTGAATTTTATAATATCTTCTTTGATTTACGCAGCAATGATGTGGTTGCGTGAACCTAAGCCAAAGGAATTGAGTTTTTGCAACAAACTCTGATTTTCTAATTTCAATATCGTTGCAGCCCGGTGTCGTAGACCTTTAATATTTCAAACTATGAATGATATTAGATCAAATAATGTAAGTTTGAAATATCAAAGGTTTACATCATAAGGCTGCAAAGATATTGGTTTTACAAAAACTGAATTTGTGGCAAAGACTCAATTCCTTTACTAATGTTACACTCAAAAAGAAATCAAAACAATGAAAATAAAAATGTGCTTTTTAATATCTTTTGAAATTAAAAAGTAATACAGAACTTTTTAATTTATTCAACTTGTTATACTTCATCGACTTTTAAAGGTTAAATACGATGTTGAAAAATCGTTAATAATTTATCTTTAAAATGGTTTATTGTTTACCTAAACTCTATAATGGGAGTACTTGTTTACCTCATCTACTAAACTCTGGGAGTACTTATTTACCTAAACTTATAATTGAGAGGTTTACCTAAACTCTTGTAGGAGTACTTGTTCACCCAAACTCTAATGTGAGTACTTGTTTACCTAAACTCTTATGGGAGTACTTGTTTAACTAAACTCGATAGGAGTACTTGTTTAACTAAACTCTAATAGGAGTACTTGTTTACATAAACTCTAATGGGAGTGCTTGTTTACCTAAAATCTAATGGGAGTACTTGTTTACCTAAACTCTGATAGGAGTACTTATTTACCTAAACTCTAATAGAAGTACTTGTTTACCTCTAATGGGAGTACATGTTTACCTAAATTCTAACGGGAGTGCTTGTTGAGCAAGGACTCCCATGTCCTGCTGAAGATCCCATTGGCTTTGAGGGGAGTGTATATAGAGACTAGTAATCTGTGCTCCTCGTTTACTTGTTACTATCAAATATATATATATATATATATAAGTATGTATATATATATGTATGTATATATATATTTACATACTTATCAAAGATTTACTACTGAAGATTGGTTCAATGCATGAAAGACAATGGATAGTGCAGTTTAACCCAAAACTTCGAGACAAACAAATTTATTAAATGTCGTTTTCTTAACCTAAAATAATGAAATTCTGCAGATATCTATTTTTTAAATTAAATAATTATATGGAGCGCTTTAAAACTGTTCTCGCATACTTTATGGCTATTTATTTATTTTAACAATTACTGAGATTTAGGTATAATTGAATAAATCCATTGAAAAATTGTCAAGACGACATTTTATCAATTTTTACACTGTCTCCTATGTTCTGGGTTAAACTATACTTTTCTTTGTTTAATAAAAATGTGAATTGAATACAAAATATATATTTATATGTGCACGCAGTATCAAATTTTAGTTTTATTCTAATTTAATGTTTCCAGTATAATTTTATTAATTTTCACAAAACTATAACTAAAAATTTAAAGAAGTTTCAATGAACATGAATGAAACCTTGATTATTGAACAACAGTTGTTTTTATACCAGTATAGAGATGTCCTCTTCCTAAGCTTAAGAAATTCCGAACATAAGATAATTTTGCTTTAAATACAAATATCAACGAATTGGTTTACATTTCGTAAATTAAAATCACAAAAAGTGTCTTTTAAAACTCACAACTATCAGAAACAAAAAGTGTGCTACTTGTTTAAAGGGAGTGACCGGCTATGTAAGGTAGTTGAACTGAGTATGCAGTGTTGTGGAAAACTTCTTTAGGATTCATTTGAGACATATTAAACTTTTTAAAAGTCTAGTACACTGTGATAAATAGATTAGTTGGCAGTACAGTGTACAAGGGAACATGTTGATTCCTGATTTCACCTGTCCAGTGTACATCCACTCCAGGATATATCTAAATGCAAGTGGAGATATTTCCTTCTTGTTCAGGATTACATTTTTCTTGGTTTTCCATCTAAACAAATTAAAAAAAGTTTAAAAAACTTGGAAATACAAAGATATTTGGAAATCAAAAGATAGTTTAAATCTGTGCATGCTAGCAGCTTTTCAGGGGGTCATTTTTTTCAACAGATTCAAAAGAAAGGAAAAATGAGTTTTTACAGTTTATTTCTAAACTCACTCAAAATCAAAAAAAAATCCAGGCCTTACATATTAACAGTAACAGACAGTGAGACTGTGGAATAGGAAGACGACTGTAAGACTCAAGTTATGACTTTAGATAGTTTAGTGAAACACAGAAAATGTGCAGTGCTCACAGACCTATTCTACTTTATTGAATGATTTCTAAGCTGCTGGTTAAACTATTTGCATTTTAAAACCGCATCAAAAATTCAATGATTAATATCATCGTCCTTTTCCAGTTTAATGGGTTTCCCTGTATGAATTTCATGAATTTAACAAGAGGGGACTTTTTGCGTACTATCCCGTTTTGTCTTATATACATTAAGTCTTAATTTGTACTGTACTGCTTGCTCTGGCTACAGGGTGTCCCAATAAACATGGGAATTCAGTGACGAATTCGATATCGTCTTTTCAAATAATTCTTTGATTTAGTATAGTGATACCTACTGAGAAAGCTGTAATCTGTAAGAGTTTCGTCTGCTATGTTTACGTTTTGTTTGTTTATGTTTTGACTGCATAGGGTTGTACTTAGTAAAACAAGAAAATTGCAGTATACAAACAGAGTAAACTTGTCCGTCATCACTGTTCATCTTGCAGAGACATTATAGACACATCTTTGCAGTCTTTTACCCTTTTCATAAAATAATCTCTAGCAGACATAATATTATGGCTTTTGAAATTAGGTATTACAATGCTAATTCAGAACAAAGACGATATCGAATTCGTCACTGAATTCCCATGTTTTTTGGGACACCCTGTACTTAAAGTTGAAATGAACCGGAGTTTTCTTACTGTGCCTGTTTTATGCTTTTTCCCACACTAAAGTACAATTTATATGTTTCTTAAAAATAGCCCTAAATTGCAATTCTAAGTCACCGCTAAATAAGTTCTCTGAAAAAAGTTTTTAGTAATAAAGTCCTAAATTTTGGCACTAAAAAAGTCCTCTGGAAAAAAGTCTCTGAAATAAAGTCCTACCATTTTTAGACTTTATTTTCTGGTTCCGGAAGTCTGATTTTATACAAAAACGTTCCCGGAAAAAAAATCCTGTTTTAGTAGAAAATGCATGGTGACAAAAGATGTTTTTAACAATGAAAAAAGGAGCAATTGATATAAAAAACACCAATAAGACATAAGACATAAGATACAATTAGGCTGACTCGCAGAAATTCTCCCAAATAAAGATTTAATTGATATTAAAAACACCCATGGCTACATTAAAAAAATCATGTATAGAAAAAAACGTATTTTTTACGAGAATTGATCTCATTTTCACAAGACTTAGGGACTTTTTTTGTTGTCTTTTTCTTCGGATATATTTTCTTCAGGAATTTATTTCCTGTGATCTTATTTTCTAAGACTTCATTGGCAGCCCCCATAGTAATTAAAGGAAAAAAGTCCCAGGAAATAAAAATTCAGGACATTATTTCCAGTGACATTTTGTCTTAGAACAAATTGGGACTATTTTACCAAAGTTTTGTTCCAGAAACTTTTTCCGGTGACTTTCTTAGAAAGACTGAATTAAAATGTTGGCTGTACCTGGTTTCTAATTGTTGAGTGAAGAAATGTGACCGGGTTGAGAGAATACATCTAAACAAAACAATCAAAGGTTTGTTTAAAGGGACTGTAAGCGTAATTTCAAGTGACCCTTAATGCTAAGACGGCAATACCCGGTACCCTTGAAACCTTTATCCGATTAATTATGTGTAAGATATTGTCGTTTTTCTATGGTTAAAGTGTTTTTTTTTATAATTCCTGTATGTTTTTCTGAAACAGAAATTCGCATATCAGTTTTGTAGAGAACTCACAATTGAAAATATTCAGTTTTCTAAAACATTGATATACAATTCATAATTGTGCAATAAATGATTTGGCAGAGAAAACATATTGGGAACGATTTTTGCAAAAAAAAAGGGACTAAACAAAATTCAGTAAAGTCGTCTCTGGAGTCTCATTCTTTGTGTGTAACCCTGTATCTTTAAATTAATCAAATGTTTCGTCACAAAGTTAAACAGATTTTCAAATAAAATTATTCTGAAAAAATCTTCCTGCTTTTAGTGTTTTACCTGTGCGCAGAGATTTTAACTCCATGAATAGAGAATGTTATATCATTATATGTTTCATCTTCAAATAATCTAGAAATAAACTAGATGTTATCTCCATGAAAAATAATGTTATATCATTATATGTTTCATCTTCAAATAATTTAGAAATAAACTATATGTTATCTCCATAAAATATAATATTATATCGTTATATAATTCATCTTCAAATAATCTAGAAATAATTAGATGTTATCTCCATGAAATATATAATTTTATATAATTTTATGTTTCATCTTCAAATAATCTAGAAATAACTAGATGTTATCTCCATAAAATATATAATTTTATATCATTATATGTTTCATCTTCAAATAATCTAGAAATAAACTAGATGTTATCTCCATAAAATATAATAGTATATCATCATGTGCTTCATCTTCAAATAATCTAGAAATAAACTAGATGTTATCTCCATGAAATATATAATTTTACATCATAATATGTTTCATCTTCAAATAATCTAGAAATAACTAGATGTTATCTCCATGAAATATATAATTTTATATCATTATATGCTTCATCTTCAAATAATCTAGAAATTAACTAGATGTTATCTCCATAAAATATAATATTATATCATTATATGTTTCATCTTTAAATAATCTAGAAATTAACTAGATTTTATCTCCATAAAATATAATATCATATCATTATATGTTTCATATTCAAATAATCTAGAAATAAACTAGATAATATCTCCATGAAATATATAATTTTATACCATTATAGGTTGTACTTGCAAATAATCTAGAAATAAACAAGATGTTATCTCCATAAAATATAATATTATATCATTATATGTTTCATCTTCAAATAATCTAGAAATAAACTAGATGTTAACTCCATGAATAGAGAATATTATATCATTATATGTTTCATCTTCAAATAATCTAGAAATAAACTAGATGTTAACTCCATGAATAGAGAATTTTATATCATTATATGTTTAATCTTCAAATAATCTAGATATAAACTAGATGTTATCTCCATGAACTATAATGTTATATCATTATATGTTTCATCTTCGAATAATCTAGAAATAACTAGATGTTATCTCCACTCTCCATGCATAGAAAATGTTATACTATGTGACCCTACATAATAATAATAATATAAGGATGTTTTTAACTTATCGCACTAATTTTTGGGTCACCCTGTAATTTGTAAATATTTTCACCTTCTCAGAAACTCGGTGTACGGTTCTCTTCGCATGGTACTCGAGGTTAACATTCGGTGCTCCAGCAATAGCTTCCTGTACATAATGTACATAGTGTAACTTGGGTTCAAAATGTGCAGTGAAACCCATAAAACTATAGAATATGTAAGATGGACTTTTAGATTCAAGTTTGAATTTTAAATATGAAACTCAAAAAGTATGCAGTGCATTCCACTTCAAAAATTGTTGATTTCAAGCTACTAAAAAAACTGCTTTATAACACTTTCAAAAACACAGAATATTGCTAAAATGTCGTCTTTCCTCTTTACAGTTTAATGGATCTCGCTGTACATGATAAATACATCTATACGTAGGCTTCATAGTGTACAAAGGCTTAATAGTGTAAAAAGGATGTACGTAGTGTGCATGGAGTACATAGGCTATCTAAGAACTACCAGACTAATCAGGGACGAATTTTAAAACTTTTAAAGAGCTGTAAAAAAATAAGATCGAAAATGTTAAAACGCGGAAATTCATCTTCGAAGAAGAAAAAGGTATTTGAACCTTTCAGATATTAACGAAGCTAAAGTATAAAACATTATAATCCCCCCCCCACCATTAACAATTCAAAATCTTTCCCTTTAAACTCACCTTATTTGATTTGTAAGTGCTCCGTACACACAACGTTCTCCATCGAACGTATTTGCATCACACATTGCTCCCCTATACATGTAATGACTAGTGCATGTACACTGAACAGTGTATGTACAGTTTATGTACAATGTACATTGTACAATGTAAAGCAAGATTTTAATTGGGAGAACAATCTCATGGAAATTGCGCCGAAGCAANCTTCATCCCAATTAGAAAAGGAACACAAAACGTAATTTCAAGTGACCCTCCATGCAAAGATGGCAACGTCCGATTTACAACGGTACTCTTGAAACCTTCTGATTAAATATGAATTAGATTTCCATGTTTTTGTTTACTTTAACTGCTTATTTTCTCTTGTTTATTTAAACTGTTTATTTTCTTTTGTTTATTTAAACTGTTTATTTTCTTTTGTTACTTGAATCTTTTTTATTCATAAGAAACAATGTAGAAATTCACAGATATATTTCACTTTTCCAGTCAGAAAAACGATGTTATCATTCTCATTTTTGATCAGATTAATATTTCAAGGGTTCCGTTGTAAATCGGGCATTGTTATAGTGATAACCAGAAACTTGATGCATTGTGCAATGTTAACAGACCCATTTAAGTTAATAAGTGATGTAAGAACTTATTAGTACAGCTATGTGTTTTGTAACAACATCAAATAAACGTCAGTGCTGTTTTAATGGCGTCTTCCTATTCTACAGTTTTCTGGTTATCACTGTACATATACCTTTGCATGAAGGGTCATTTAAAATTACGCGTACAGTCCCTTTAAAAACTCTTTAAGACCTCATATTGAATTGACCAACCTATGAAGAAGATACTCTACAATATGGTGGTGTCCACACAAGCAGGCGTAGTACAAGGGTGTTGAATCCCACTTATCCCGTAGATTTACATCAATATCCTTCTCCTCGCAGAGATACCTGGATATAAAGTGAAGGGAACAGTGAAACAAATATTTTTTGTAAAAAGGTCCTTTTGGACCTTTATTTGTGTAAAAAGTAAATAAACGTGCCCGCCCCCCCCCCCCCAACAGATAGGGGAGAAGGTCTCATATATGAAATGGTTTTATATGATGTAGGGAAAAAATAAAAATTAAGAAGTTAAAAGGCAATTTCAATCATCCTTTTTATAATATTTTTCAAACAAAAATTTAGCAATTAAAACCCTGAAAATAACTTCTGCGAAATACACAAAAAAAATTAAACTGTATATTTATAATTCTGTATTTATTTATTGTTACATCATCATGTTGAAAGTTTGTAAATTAATTACCGAAAATGCTGTGTAACTTACTTTACTCTGGTAATGTCTCCCTTCTTGCAAGAATGAAAAAATTCTTGAATGTCCATGTTGCGTTATCACAGCTTTATTATGTTATAAAAGTATACAATTTTAATATTTCAATGTTTTGAACGGAACGGTCTGTAAACTGTAGAAGAAGTGTACACTTTAGAACAGCTGGTGCTACATCATCGAAACTATGCCTTTTAAAATTTAAAAAAAAATTATGGTAAGAATCTGATAATTTGCCAGTTGATCATATCCTCATAAATATGTATCAGAATAACAAATAGTTCGGATTAAATTTGTCTCGTTGATGCGACATAAAAGTAATTTTCTACATTTTTATTTTGTGATCGGGTTCTTTCCTCGACGAACCAATTTTTTCCGGAGTAAATTTTTTATTTAATGCTTCCGAAGCAAAAAATATCATTTAATTTTCTTTAAAAGAACAATGCTGAAACCTTTAGAATGGTGGATATCGAGATCAATGCTTTATCTTCTATTTTTCTTAACCTCCAGATTAAATAATGCTTGTTCTCCTTCTCCTCTTTCTATTTATCTCCAGATTAATTAACCGATCAGAATTAAGGATATCCCATTCTAAAGTTTTCAGCTCAGAAAATATTTAGGAAAAACGACTGAATAGAATGTCGTCTTTTAATTTTCTTAAATTGTCGTCTTACAGTTTAGAAACGTCAAAAGAATAATTCAAATATTATTGGCGCGGCAACATTCGACGAATCACATCGCAGGAATTTCTTATAACCGGATTATCGAAGTTGTGTTAACCAATGTCCAACGGGAGATAGATGTATAAGCATGAAATTTGGGCGCGTAAATTTTACAGTTCGTGTGCTGTGCTACCATCCCGGTGAATGTTTCTTAAATGATTTAAGACACCAGTCACAAGGTGTGAAGAAATAAACGTTTATCAATCAATCAATCAATCAATGTTTCTTAATTTTAAATCTGGGGAATTTCTAATCCAATATTAATTGGGGTATTCTGCGTGTTAAACTTGTGTTTAAAAATGAAATTATCTAAAATGTATAACATTTTTGTCATGAATTAGTTTTCAATGATATAAATCATGATATAATCCAAATCTAATTCAGATTAATTATTGACAAGACCGTTTTCCCCAAAACAGTTCTTTAAATATTGAAATTGTTTGATTCAAGGGCTTTGTTAAAAGTTTAGGACAGACCCCGCACTTTTATTACTGTGTATTTAGTGTTTAAACAAATGGGGAATTTCAAGACAGAAATTTGGAATTATCTTTTCTGGGGGTTGGCAACGCAATCATATTATACATCTTGGAGTTTGCAGGACCTTAAAGTGAGGGGAGTTGGTGATAGTGTATATTTAATTATTTTCTTTTCGTATTTTAACCGTTTTGACTTTTTTTAAAGTTTATTTTGCAGGGAAATGCTGATTAGTTCTGGCATCTAAACGCACGTTTTCTCCTCTTCTTTCTGACGTAGACAAAGTATTTCTTTCATGTAAGTAACAAAACGGGTAAATGCCTAGAGAACGATTTTTGAACCCCGCACTATAATATTATATCATTATATNCTAGCCTGTCATATCCGCGTCGCTCGGCCCCCTAGCCTGTCCTAGCCGCAGCGCTCGGCCCAGAAAGTGCCTTTACCTAATTCCCTTAATATATACTAATTTTGTTGAAAATTAAGTGCTTATGTACAGAATTGACAGGAGGGGGGAGGGGCTCAAAAATCGTATACTAGGAAGGACCCGGAATCTTTCTAAATTCTTATCATGTGTCCGTCCTATGATACGATTTTTGGACCCCCCTCCCTCTCCGCCCTTTCCTAAAAATTTTGAACATGACCACTGATTTTCATCAAAATTTTAATGATTTTTGTATTATTTGGGTTTGGTTAGTTCAAGAAACTTTTTAGGGCCGAGCGCTGCGGCTAGGACAGACTAGGGGGCGGGCGCTGCGGCCACATGACCAATTATATCCATGAGTTACTTACGAGATCCATGTACAGAATTGATAGGAGAGGGGGTTGGGTCCAAAAATCGTATACTAAGAAATTACACTTATCTAAACCGTATAGAAAGGACCGCAGCGTTCGGTCCTGTTTGTCAATGTCCTACTTACTTATATTGATGTTAGGTACTTTCCCAAAGGCCTTTTTCTTCAAAAGAAGTAATAGCCGCAGCGCTCGGCCCTTATCCCTTCCTAGCCGCAACACTCGGTCCCATAGCCAATTCCTAGTCGCTGCGCTCGGCCCTCTAGTCCATAGCCTCTGCGTTCGGCCCCCCATTTTAGCCTCAGACGCCTAACCTAACCTTTAATAATGTACTATATTTTTCTTAAATAATTTTACTATATTTTCATAAATAATTTACTATATTTTCATAAATAATTTACTATAATTGCTTAAATAATTTACAATATTTTCTTTAAAACAAGTAATAGCTGCAGTGCTCGGCCCCTTAGCCCTTCCTAGCCTCAGAAGGCTTAACCTAACCATAAATAATAATAAAGATCGTTTAATACATGTTCAGTGTTCACCCTTTGAAGTAAGGGTATAGGCCACCAACATGTACTTGCCTTACTAACTGAGAGAGACTGAACGAATTTTTTAATACTTCCTCCTTGGGGAAAAATGCCGTTTTTCCTTTATGGGGAAGTTGCCACTTGGGAAATTGCACATGTGGGAAGTTGCCACTTGGGAAGCTGCCCTTGGTAAAATGCCTTTGGAAAGTACCTAACACCCTCATATTGTGGTGCTACAATTCGTTAATATCACCGGCTGTTGTTTGATAACCTTTTTAAATTTTGTTACATAAGTTGGTTTACGGTTTTAGCAGTTACGAAAGGCATTTAAAATATATATATATATAAAAACAAGATAAAAAAATTATTTTACATGCAAAAACCGCCTGTGATTTTTTTTTCATTCTTTTGATGTCTCGCATTACCAAGAATAGATCAATATAATAACAACAAGATAAAAAAATTGTTAAGTTTTCAATTTTCAGTTTTCCGACCAACTGCGAGTGAATCCGTGTCAACTATGGCGGAGAAATCCGGTGCTGGGACCTCCTTGAAGGTTCTACAGCCTAGCAGGCTGATCACACCAGGCGAACTCACCAAGAGACCTCGGTCAGTATCATGGGAGTAAAGTTTACAGACTAATCACCCCCCCCCCCTTGATAATCATCAAGAGGAAAAAATAAATTTTGTAGTAATAAGTAATCAACGGATGAAAAATAAAAATAAGATAGCTGTTTTGCCCTTTTTTAATAATCATATATTTCGTCGAGAATTTTTTTTTGGTTTGTGCTAGCATTCCTAAGTTACTTAACCAAAAAATGTTTTTTTTAGGTGAGAGGGGGGGGGTATTTGCGCTTTATGTAAACATAAAATCTACAAATTATTTTCTTGAAAGTTTTTATTTTTAAAAATGTTAATAACTGTGCTTAAACCTTAATTCTGCAGGTTAATGAGACCTTTGTGGATTATTTGGGACCTTACATATATTCAAAATAAAAAAATAGCGAATTTTTGCATGATTACATCTTGAAGGAAAATATTCGCAAAATGCTGTTGAAATTTGTTCACGCAAAAAAATTTGTGAGTCAAATATAAATGCATTTTTCATGCCAAGAACGATTACAAAAATTATATAATATTTTTTATTAGGCCTAAATCAATTGAACTTGAAACTGGCGTAGCAGACAAGAAACGGAAGATGGGACTTCCAGAACCTAAGGTATCGGAAAAAAACTGGATTAGATATTTTAGGAAACCGGCTTTTCTATCAGAGAAACCAGTTTTTATGTTTTTCTGAGGCCGCCCTGAAAATAATTAAGTAAATTATTCCTATGACAAAGGTGGCTTCGATTTGATACTAAAGTAAGGCTCGACCATTAACAGATGTCGGGAATAATTAAGAAACTTCCGACAAATTATCACACCGCCGGGTTTAACTTTGTTCTCTGATGCTTTCAAATCGCTAACTCAACTATCATCGTAGCCTCCCCCCACAACTGGCTTCTGGTTCTTTTGCTTTGAAAGAATTTTTTTTGTTTGTTCTTATTAAAATCATTTTATGAGAGATTTTAGACATTTTATTATCTTTTAAAAAATCTTTCTTTATTTCGAAAGTATCTGCCTCCATTTTAAAATATTTCAGGTTTTGTCTTAAATCGCTGTATTGGGGAAATTAGCCCCGATGGATGTCTGGGATTTCTAAGACCGGGGGGTTTTAAATCCTTCCCTTATCTTATATTATGATAATAAAGAGGGGAAAGTCTTCTGTAGTATCTCAATAAGGGACAAACTTGTTTACAACAAAAAATCCGCCCCCCCTTCCCATTCCCATCTTCCTCGGATAAATAAATAAATTAATTAATTATTAAATAAACTCGCAATTATCATTTAAAGGGACTACGCGTAATTTTAAGTGACTCTCCATGCACAGATAGCGATACCCAATTTACATCGCTTAGAGGGTGATTTGAAATTACGCTGACAATCCCTTTAATTAACCGGATGTTGTAGATGGGACAATCCCTTTAATTAACCTGATGTTGTAGATGGGACAATCCCTTTAATTAACCTGATGTTGTATGACTAACTGTTGTAGATGGGACAATCCCTTTAATTAACCTGATGTTGTAGATGGGACAATCCCTTTAATTAACCTGGTGTTGTAGATTGGACAATCCCTTTAATTAACCTGATGTAGATTGGACAATCCCTTTAATTAACCTCATGTTGTAGATGGGACAATCCCTTAAATTAACCTGATGTTGTAGATGGGACAATCCCTTTAATTAACCTGATGTTGTAGATGGGACTGTCCAATCTGACGAGGGCAAAGAGCAAGTCTACCATGAACCTTGCGGACAAATCGACAACCAGAGGTAAAATAAGAATGCATTACAATTTTTCCTAAATAAAACTTGCAATTTATTTCAATCTATTGCGAAGCCGCTTATTTTGTTTTTCCTATTTTCCCTGGCTCGATATAATAACACGTTAAAACAGCTCCCCTCCCCCCAGCAGTTGACACAAGACTAAAGGCAACTAAAGGCTACATTAAAAAAAACATACAATTGCAAGTTTTAAAGCCTTGTTTATTTCTTGATTTAGTAAAGTTACTACCAGTGTTGGATCTTGGACAAAGCCTGATAAGATCTGATAAAGATACCCTTTCATCGAGTCATTATTTATAATCCCGATTTTCCCGCGTATTTCACCGGAAATAAAATGTTTCCTTCAATATTTCAAGTTTATTTTATTTGTTTCCGAGTTTACAAAATCGTTTAAGCGTTTTAATCAATGGCTGTACTGAGGGATTATTAATTAATCATGAAATTCGCTCCGGTTGCATACAAAAATACGCGTAAAACACGGTAGCAGTCTTTATTTTTCAAATTTAAGTTTGATGATTTTTTTTGTGGAGGGTGGGGGGTAATTAAAAGTTGGAAATCAAACAGAAAGTTTCTTCATACTTTTTCTACTCGGAAACTCATTTTCTTCCCTTAAAAATCATTTATTTTCCCTTTAAAATCATTTATTTTCCCTTTTAAATCATTTATTTTCCCTTTTGAATAATTCATTTTCCCTTTAAAATCATTTATTTTCCCTTTTGAATCATTTATTTTCTCTTATGAATCATTTATTTTCCCTTTTAAATCATTTATTTTTCCCAATTTAGTGGGAAAAAATTTCTGTGCCTTCCGCATGCCATGCATATATTTCTTATTGGAAAAAAATATTTTTAAAAAAAGATGGGAGATTTTTTAAGATACCCCTGACTAACTTGGTGATCTAAAATCTTGTTAAGGAGGTCGTCTTAACACAACAACTACAACTACGCGCCCCGCGTTAAACCGTTATACAGTCTCAAGTGTGCGCCCAGGAATCGACCGGCGCGCAACTACAGCTAGCGCACTGAACTCGAGGTAATTTATTTCCCCTGAAAGAAGTTTATTTACTCCTTGTTTATGTTGTTTACTAAATAGACATAAAGATACCTCTACAATCGTTTCTAAGAAAGGTTTCAATATAATTTTGCTGATTT